AGCTAGTTTGTTATATTCTCCATTAAGTTCAAAAGTGAAATATAGCACAAATTATTCCCCCAAAATTTGTCATGAATAAATACCAGTTTGGCAAAGAATTTTTTTTTTATTTAACAGTATGTATACAAACTGTTTTCATTTTGAATCTGTGTCTAACCTGTATACTCTTGACAAAATCTAGTCTGATGAACTTGTATGCTTCTAAAACTGCCTCTGTTTATCAATTCTTTAATTTTATTAATTTATTAATTCATGTTATCTTTACTCAAAAGGACTTGTAATGTTACAAAGTTCAGCTACTATGAGATACACTATGTTATGTTTATTGGAAACATTTGTAAGTACATTATATTTCATTTTCACATGCATTAAATTCTATCTTTCTTTTCTGACACAGAACTTCCTCAGGTGTTACTTACCCTGCAATGCACCCTAGTCAATTGGACGTTTTTAGCACTTTAAAACATGTGACTGGGTTCCTCAACATTCAAGCCTCTAATCCACACTTTAAAAATCTGTCATGTTTTCGTAACTTGGAAGTGATTGGAGGTCGCCAGACTACAGAGTAAGTCCCTAATCTAAGTCATAAATTATGAATCCTTTTTTTTAACAAATAATATTACCCACAATCAAGAGTGTTTTATTTCCACACAGATTTGACCACATTTCTTCATTATGAATTTCCAGTCACCTTCAAAGAAGCATTCATAGAAGATAAATTTTACTTATTTTTGAAAGAAAACTTATGTAATTGTAAAAGATCTAAAAATGTAATAATTGCAAGATTAACTTTGTAGCACAAAATTTTAAAGATAAATTTTCTTCTCAGGCTGATTATATGCATAGCTATCTCAATTAAATGTTCTTTTTCACATTTTTGTACCAATACATAGTTAAAAGACAAACTACAAGAGAAAACTGAAAGTTGTTAAGTCTCAAGTTGAAAGTTCACTATTATATTACATATTTTAATTCTTTCTACTGTTTTAGTTTTAGTAACATTGCAGGAAAGATTTTTTTGCATTTTACTGATACATTTTATTTTGATAATATAAGATCTGAAGAAATAAATGCTTTTCAATTTTGTTTTTACTTTGTAAATGTTTGTGTATTAAGTAGGCCTTAAACTTTTGAACAGAACAGTTATATTGTTTTCAATTTAATCCCAGTCATTTCAGTTCAATTTTTTTTTTACTCATTAATTAAGTTTGAACCATTTCATTACTGAAAAATAAATAAAAACTAGTATTCAAATAATATTTAATTTTTACTCAAATTATCTATAAAATCGTCATATAATAACTTGAAATGAAAATGACCTCATTATATCTAAATCCTGGCTACAATTTTAGAATGAATCTGTGAAGTTGAAGTTTCTTTATTTTAAATCATGATTTATAATTAATTTTACTAACAAAAGAACGTCCAAACTTTTTAGAATTGTTTTTCCTTGAAGCATTATTATTCTTTTTTACATTTTTATATCTAATTTTAATAATAATAGAATGATTCTTTTAAAAAATTTTTTTATCAGTCAGTATGCTGCATTGTATATTGTGAAGACCTCTTTGGAGACACTGAGTCTAAAATCTTTAAAGAAAATAAGAGCAGGAAACGTTGTGATTTTTGAGAATGCTGAACTTTGTTTAGCAGATACCATCACGTGGGAAGATATTATGTTATATAATTCAAATTCTGCACTTATTCAGTATAATGCTGATGAAGAGTATTGTAGTAAGTACATATACAGATCGAGTAAAAAAAACTATTTATCTTTACATTTATGGTGGTTGTTAATTTTCTTCTGAATGTATATCTATTCTAATGCTGCTAACTTCTTACTTTAAGTGTTGTGGTAAAAACTATTGATAAGAGATGTGTCTTGGAGAGAGAGAGAATTAAGTGTAATTTGTGTTCTGTTTGATGGAAGAACTATAGTAATTTGCTTGTAAAGAAAGAATGAAATTATCTGCATGACTACATAATACTGCTGCAATTAGTTTGATAATAAGTAGAAATTCTCTTAAAAAAGAAATGTTCTTTAAAGAAAGTTTCTGAGGTGAGTTAAGAAATAAATATAGGTTATACAAAGTGACTACAGCCCAAACTAAATAGTATATAACATTTCTTCCATTACTAAAGAAAAATAAGTATATTTCTCAGTACAAAAAGTTTGTTTTCATTCAGAATCTCTCTTACTTGTCCCAGTAAGTGTTCGTCATATGTGGTTTCAGAAAAAAACTGATTAATTATTTCTACTTAGAACAGATAGGTCTTGTGTGTCACAACCAATGTAAAGGAAAGCATTGTTGGGGACCTCATGCAGATCAATGTGTGTCTTGTAAAGCCTACAAGCTAGACGATACTTGTGTGAAGAATTGTACAAACCTGGAAAAGTAAGTTTTTATAAAGTATTTTTAGGATATATGTAAATGTAAAATTTTAAGATTGAAGTTTGACCATTGTTGAGATATTCAAGTATTTGCAGACTTTTTTTTTAATGCAAATTTTTACAAAGTAATGAAGTGTTTTGGATTTCACTAATTGTGGTTGTTATATGGTTCCAACATGGCAATATTTAAAGATTCAGATATATTTTTAAAGTTATTTTATTATTATGACAGAAATAGAAACATGTTCTGAAATATTTGGAATTGGCTTAGACAAATATGTCAAATACATATTTATTGGTACATTCAAAATCATAGAAGATAAATTTCTAAATCATTTCTTTTCCTCTTTTGAAATGTGTTTTTAAGGATATCAAAACATATAATAAGTATTGTAGAACACATAGATAAGCATTATATATATATTTCAATTTATTCTCCAAATGTATAGTAATATGTTTTCATTTTTAATATGAATGTTTTTTTTTAGACAACTTAATACTGATACAGTTTTTCTGCTACGAGTTAATTTTTTAGTATTTAAAGTGGATTGGATAAGTGTGCAAAGTGTTCCTATGTTAAGCTTAATTAAGAAATATGTTTTACATTAATTGTGCATATAGATTACCAAAAAGATAAAGATATCAAGAATTCTTAGAGAAATCAATAGAAATTAATACAGAAATACACTGACCCAAAGTTTTAATAATATGAAATACAAAAACGTAACTTTCAGTGAGGTCACTCGACTTTCTCTCTCCCTATCTACTTTTCTTTATTATATGTGGTTTAGCATTTTCAGTAATATATTTTATTTTCCTTTTATATGTATACTAAAATATGGTGAAATTAACAAATGGCCAATTTTGTTCATTTCTAAGTATGTTTTTGTATATATATATATATATATATATATATACACTACTTTTAACTTTAATACTGTAATATAGTTGTTGTTTTTAACCAATTGCAAGCAATCATTTAGGTTGTGCATTTAAATATTAACTTTGTTATAAAAATTTAAATGTTAATAAAGCTTTCTTGTTGCAGCACTTTCCATGTAGGAAACCATGAATGTAAACACTGTCATAGTGAATGCCTAGGAGGTTGCGCTGCCTCTGTAAGTTTGAAGTTTGTCATGAAATGCATAATAGAATCATTCTACATACAAAATATATTAGGAGTAAATGACATTCATTATTTTAACATATAATGTTAACGGTAAGAGAAATTACTGAAACTGTAAGCATGAATTTTTGTAAATGATAATATTCTGTGACCTTGCAGAGAAGAAGTACAAAATTTGAGTCATAGTATAAAGTGTAGCAATTTCATAGTTTGTAAAAATGTCTGTTCAAAATATAAATAACATAAAATTTTGACTTCAAGTATGTCACAAAATGTGTTATAAATAGATGCTGACTCAGAGGCAAAAAAATCAATAAAATGTAAATTTTTTCCATCACTAATGATCTGTTTTGGAAGATTTTAACAAGACAATTAGGTTTACTTTTTCATTTATATAAGATCATATAAATAGAATAGAATTAAAAAGCTATTTATCAAAACTTAAATGTTGGTGAAGTAACAATTATAGGAAATTTACTTATTTTACTAATGGGGGAAAACACTGGTGTTTTATGTCACTTATTTGCTTTAATATTGATATGCACATAAGGATAGGTATCTATATATAAAAATAATTTGAAAGATGTTCATCAATATATTTTGCCTTAATTGGAATATAGATATTATTAGATGTTTAAAACTTTCTTATCATACTTTCAAAGAAATATGAATTATTATGTAATCCTTTTGAAAGATTTGTTTAAACTATTATTTCCAAAAGTGCAATCCAATAAATCTTGAACCAAGAGTTCTGACAGTTTCAAAACAGTGAAAACTTAATTTTAAGTTGTTCTGAATACTTAAAAAAGTTGCTTCTTTAAGCTAATGAAAAATTCAAAAATATATGTTACATTTTATTTGTTGGACTTAGTTTTGACACCAGTGTTTTGTTCACAAGGGTAATGACAACTGTATGTCCTGTCGGAATGTTAAGGATGGGCCTTACTGTGTCTCCATATGTCCACTTGCCAAATTCAGCAGTAATGGAATTTGCAAATTTTGTCATGAGGATTGTGCAGAAGGGTGAGCTGACATTTGCTATTGCTCACTGACTTGTTCTATAGTAACAACTAATAATATTCATGATGTATAACCCATCATCCTAGCTTTATTGTGAAATAATGAGTACATTTATAGAATAAATTCAAAATCACGAAAGAACAACTTCTCTCCTTTAGTGCTGGTTATCCACCAGGAATAAGTAGAAAACATTTTATACCCAATTGTGGCTTAACCTCTAGTTCACACACAGGTTCTGACATCAGTATTAAACTAACGGATCTCCAGTGTATCAAACCTCAAGGAGACAGCTTTCCAGTTGGATTGTTAAATATTCTTCTTGTATTTGTAAATTAAAGGACATTCTTGTCACATCCTGTGTTGAACTAACAGAGTGCTTTAATTCATTAAAATGGAATACAAGTGTAAAAAATTACAAATGCACAAATTGTACAATAATATATAATCGCTATAAGTCAACACAGTATTATATTTTTTACCTGTTGCAAATTACATTTATTTATGTTTTATATATTTTCAACTGTCAACACAATTCAGTATGGTGTTTTCTCTTGAAATAACAAGAAAGCATTCTGTCCTGACTGGGGTTTTAACCTAGCTTTCCCAGCAACAAAAAAAAGCATTTTGTCCTGACTGGGATTTTAATTCGGCTTTCCCAGCAACAAGAAAGCATTCTCTCCTGACCACGGTTTTAACCCAGCATTCCCAGCTCACATTAACTTCTCAAACCATTTATGACTACATTAAATGACTTAATGACTTTGTATCTTATAGAGGTTTGTAACTTATTTTTCATTTACATAAAAACAATTCTTTTTAATGAAGGCTTGTAATGAAATATTTTGAAATTGTTGTATATGAAGAAATAATATATAACATTGTATGAGAAGTAACAACAACAATATGGTTGGTTGTGTGTGACTAAATAATCTGGAGTTCTTTATGTGATGAAATAATCTGGAATGTTTAATCTAAGACAGACATAAACTGCAGTTTTGTGTACTAGCACAATGATGTAATGTTTATAATCTTGTGGTTAAACTACGTCTCATTTTGTACACTTAATATAACTATGATTGTCAGTTTTATAGGGGCTGGATTCTTTACAGTAGGTGTCTGTGACTTGTTGGCATTATATGAACAATAAATGGATAGCACATAATCCTCTTGTTTTAAAATATTACATATTCAAACAAGTCAAATGTATGTACAAAAATCTTTTACACGATAGGTTATCACAGTCTTATTTAAAACTGAATAATTCTCTTGTTTTGTCAAATATCAACACAGGCTGATTGAATTACTTTAGAATCCAATTGACAAAACTAATTATTTTTCTCTACTCTGTTTCTTACTATACAATCTGTGAGAAATTCACTTATGTTACCCTGTGAGTTACCACAAATGTATCAAGAACTTTAAATAATTGCCTCCTTTTCATCAAAGTTCACACAGGTGGGTTCAATTACTTTAAAACACCCCTTAACAAGACAAATTATTCTCTTTATCTCTGTCAAGCTATGAAACTCACTTTAAATATTGTTCATTATGGCTAAACTAACAATCACGCAGTCTAACTTCACTTTCTTACTCAACATTTTCTCATTAAACTTCACTTGGTCACCAATTAATACATACATTATCCAATTGAGGCATAGAATTTTCTTCAAACTATGAGACGCTATGATGTAAAAATACTCACTTAAGGCAAAGAGAAAAATACAGAAGGTTTGAGTAATGTGACTTCAAATTACAACAACTGAACAACACATACAATGTACAGCTCTTACCGAGTTACTTAATGAAACTTGTCATAACTATCGCCTTAAAAATAATCAATTTTAACACTGTTGTTACAAAAACTAAATAATTATTAAATATTAGATCACTAAATTAACTAAATAATAACTTATACTAAACAGTCTTGTATGTCCAACAATGATATATTAATAGCGATATATAGTAACGTGTCTGATTCTTAAACCTAAGGTTGTGTACTTTTTGTTTTTAGCAACAGTTGTTTCAGCCTATTATTAAACCTGAGTACAGGTAATGTTTATTGCATCTGCTTTATGTACACTTCTTAGAAAATGACAATAATATAGAATAAGTTTATTTTATGACAGTCTTTAGCATATATTTGCATATTTGACAGGAAATTTGTGTCTTGACATTCACTTTTTGCAATCAGTTATTAAGTATCCTGTGAGTTATTCTTATCTCCATTAGATCCACAAGTAAAACCTTATTATGATATTTTTTTACGTGGATACATTCTTTTACATTTATTTTTGTTGTTGTTGTAGCTGCACTGGCCCAAGCAACATTCTGGGCCCTAATGGGTGCAATTCCTGTGATAAGGCTGTTGTAACCAGCAACAATGTGGTAAGCACATGATTTCACCTTATGTTAGCTGTAGTTTGGCAGGGCTGTACAAATGTATAAAATAAAGTATTTAGCTAAAGAATTTACTTGATAAAAGAGGCAAAACTTAATGGATTCCTAATTTTGGAAACTTGGTTAAATAAAATACAGCAAGTATTCTTATTCTTGAACTCTCTTAACAAAGGAAGCTAAAAGCTCTTTACTTTTATATTTCTAAAGCCTATGGTAGTTCATAAACAATATAATTGAATACCATAATGTGAAATGTATCAAAGTTTGTATGAAACAAATTGGTGGAAATAAATTCATGTAACTGCTCTGAGGACTACAGTTTCTAGCAGTGTCAGCTGTAATTGGCATAGCAGTCCCATACATAAGAAATGTAACTAAATTACTGTAAAAGAGTACATAGAGTAAAAAAACAACAGTTCTTCATGGGACATTTGTCAAAAGAATTTCAATGAACTATTTTAATTTTCTTTTAGATGTGTGTGCCAGCTGACCAGCCTTGCCAAGAAGGATATTACACAGAATACATTGGGCCATCAGATAAAGTCTTAAAGAAATTGTTTGGAAAACCTGTGAGCTCACTATTTTATTTTATTATTTTGTAGCAAATTAAGAAACTGTTCTCAACACATTTTAAGATATAGAAAGAAGAGTTATGTATATTATTCCAATCTGTGCTTTAATTTCTTCCAAACCTCTTTGGATCTGAGATCTGGAACTGGTTAGATTTTCTTTTTTAAAGTCTAAAGCAGTTGCTTTGTGATTGGATATTTGCCTAATGTAGTCAACTACATTAATCCCCTCTAGTTCCTTCTCAAATCATAGCCTCAATAATGGTTAAATTGTTGTTTTCCAAACTCAAAATTCTGCCCCTCCACCCATCGATGGCAAACCTGCAAGATCTTTTTTAGAAAGTTAGGACTGATTCTTATATTTATATATAGATTGTTTTAATGGTGTATTAATTTATTATAAATAAATTACATATAACATTAATATGGATACATAATTAAAAACATTTTTTATTTCAGGCCAATCTATGGCTTCTAAAATATGAATTGTATATGTTTTGACGTTTAACACATCATCATCAGAAGTGAATTTGCATAAATGTTATATTTATTCTTTTTAGCTAGGTCATGTGACCTCTGTGTAAGTTTATATTTCTGCATAAATCTTGAAGGAGATCCTGCCACATTCATGCACATATATTTGTCAGACCTTCATCTCGATTTAATAACATATGACCTTTTTTTAAACTTTATTATTTCTAAATATTTGTGGATTTTATTGACTCTAATACTCTTTGGTTGAGCCAATATTACTGTTTTTTCCATAATATATATATATATCTTATTTGTGTTTTTTTTGTACATAATATCTAGTTAGTGCATGATGTTGTTGCAATAACTGGAAAGGAACTATAAGTTCATTTTGCAATAATGAATTTGCTTTTTTACATTGCACATGATGTTGTTATATTGTATATGATTCCTTCTGATACTATATCTTACCTCCTCTCACAAAATAGCTTTTCTTGATTAGTACTGCCCTTTATCGGTGCAAATTTCAATGCTTGCCACTATCTTTCCACCTCCCACTTCTGCATATTCACATGTAAATGATTATGCTGCAGCCCTACACCAATAGGAATGAGACACAACCCCTATTGTGCTCTTTCCACATTTACATTCATTAGTCTCTTCTCGATTGGCAGTAGTACTGTACAGACATGCTTATTTATGCTTGCAAATTTGTTTACATTTTCCTTTATACTACAGACTTTTTCTATAATTTTTCAGGTTTTTGAATTGAGAAAGATTGGTTTTCAACTTTTCTTACTTTTTTCATATATATATACAATTTTTTGCTTCAAGTTTGGAATTATCATTATGCACTCACAGTTTTAGGTAGTTATGACTACCACAACTATTACTTCTGCTGTGGATTTACTGAACACTATTACCGGGTTGAGTACTCAATTATCAGACAGCAATTATTCAACAATAAATGTTCACGTTCATGCAAAATTCACCACCACATGAAGGATATCCTGTCATGCCTGTTCCTGGGGTGTCTGACAGGGAGGACATGAATTTGGACAGCCTACTTCCCATTCACAAGTATTATCATGGAATTTACCCTTTACCCAGACCTCCTTCACTCGTTGTGGAATTAATTAATTCAGGTTTGTACTGTCTTATCCTTATGTCCTGTTTCCTATGATTCACAATCTGCTCTCCTTGGTGATGTAACTATGGGTCAAAATTTAGTGTTCCCTCCCTCACCTGATGTTGGGGTATTTTTGGGATGAACTTCAGTCACAGGTCAGTATGCCTCATCCACCTTGTATAACTGTAGATCATGCTTACGCATTTCATAGATCTTCCTTCCTTTATCTTGATTCCCAATGTTTGGAATCTCTCATTACATTGTGGGGTTCAAAACCAAATGCATTGGTGAATTTCTCACAATCTCAATTCTCGTATCAGACTGATTTTGTCCACAATTCTGTGTGCATTATCAACTATGCACTTGCTGGCTCAGGCAATTCACTTGTCTTCTGAAGGGTTTCCATATTATGTTCATGGTCTTCTGTTTACTACAATGGCATGCCTTTCATCTTCGCCTCTAGCTCATTAGACGTGGCTACTGTTTCTATATCTCCCCCCCCCCCCCATCCAACCCTTTGCCCATCCAGGCTTCTTGTTCTTCATCCATTCGCAATCAAGTTTTTACTTGACGGCGTATCAGACGATTACAGAGTTGGGGCCAGTGGGAGCCAGTTTTTCCATTTTTGCCATATGTGGACACCATTTACAGAGGATCAATGGGTCCTACAGGTTCTTTCAGAAGGAGGGTTTGGCCCTTCACTTCCCTTCTCTGTTGTCTCCTCATCCCATTGCTTTCCCCCACCAGCATCTACAGGAAGTGGTTTGGAACTGACTTCAGAAATGGGCCAAAGAAAGAACCATTTCAGCTGAGGTTTTACTCCCATCTGTTTATCATACACAAAGATTTGGGAGAATGGTGACTGGTTACAGATTTATCATTCCTGAACCATTTTCTGGTTGTACCCAAATTCATGTTGGAGTCTTACTTAACCATTCAGTGGGTTTCCATTTCCAGGTTGTGAATAACAAAGGTTGACATGTCGGATGCCTATCTACATATTCCATCTCCCTGGCATCCTGAAATTTCCTCTGTAATGTTATCAGGGGCATGTTTATCAGTTTCAGGCTCTACCATTTGGCCTGGCCTTGGCTTCTAATGCCTTCTGCCAATTATTGAGGTTGTTCGCTCGACTGCTTCATGGCAAATGTCTTCGTTTCCACCATTACATGGATGACTGGCTGCTTTTGGCTTCCCCTCAGGTTGAATCTGCTGTTAATACACAATTTCTTCTTTGAGAGGCTGCCAGAGTGGGTTGGTTCATCAAGATGAGGAAGTCATTTCTCACACCCTCACAATATCTAATTCATGTGGGTGTGTTTTTTAATTCACTCATCAGTCGGACTCAATCTTCTCTCCTTTGTTTATGGAATATGGCACATCTCGTTTGCAGTGTATTGGCCTATTCTTTTGCTACTGCACAAGAAACCCTATCTCTTTTGGGGATGTAGACTTCTCTTGGTTATGCCCACAAACGTCACCTTCAGTGAGTGCTACTCAACCAATGGAACCTCTTTTGGGATCCCTTGGATCCTCCTAAGGTGTTTTGGAAGTTGTGTGCTCATTGGAGAGGGTGCTGGTTATGATAGGGGTTGTGTCACGCTCCTGTTGGTGGAGAGCTGCTGCTAATAATTTACATGTGGATATGCAGAAGTTGAAAGTGGAAGGATAGTGACGAGCACTGAAAATTTGTACCGATAAAGGGCAGTACTAATTGAGAAAAGTTATCTTGTGAAAGAAGGTAATTATCTATCGGAAATACATTTTCAGTTTAGGAAAATGTTAGCTTTTACCACATTTTTTAAGTGATAAATTAATTTTTGAGAATTGAATAATATGAAAAACCAAATAATTACATTTTTTTACTGACTAGGGAATCAATTAAAGTGACACTTATGACATTCCCTTTTTTCTGGAGTGAAAAAACGTTCAAAACTAAGAATGCAACATCTCCTCTTGATTAATGTTTAGTAATCATATCACAAATGCAAATCAGCAGTAATCAAAATTAAGTAGTTTTCTTAGGTAACACTCAAAATGTTTTTTTATTTCTTGAACGGTTTGCCATTCATGTAATGTGACACAAAATTATGTCATGGTACATGATCTTGTTTAAATATACTGACTGTCAATATGTGTTTTTGTGTTTATTAAGGTTTGCCGACCATGTCATAATGAATGTTTAAACTGTACTGGATATGGAACACACATATCTTTATGTGAGTGCAAGAACTACATCTCAGGAGAACAGTGTAAGTCAATGTGCCCCATTGACCACTATGCTCATAATGCTAGTCGAAATTGCCTGAAATGTTCCAATGAGTGTAGAGAATGTATAGGTCCAACCACCATGGAATGCAAAGATTGTCGTAACTTCAAAGTTTATCTAAAAGATGACAAATTAAAGGTTGGTAGAGTTATCTTTCACAAGGCTCAAACATTTGACAGGTCTTGTTTAAACTATATTGACAAAACAAATTGAGTAGCTTTATATATTTTTTTAAATCAGAGATAGGATGTTAAATGCTTGATCCCTCTTTTGTTTTAACCCATTTTTCTGGATTAGATTAGTTTTTTAAAAAATCATAGGCTGGAAAAAATTTTTGTCAAACCATATTTTAAATAAAATTTTGTCATGTGAAAGTTGTTTTTATTTCATCTGTTTCTCATAGCTATAACATTTATTTTTATATTATTAGAATTAGTGTGTTGGACGTAACAAGAGCATGAAGTATTATAATTATGATGATTTGATAGCTGTATACTTTTGTGGGAATGTTTTAAGTTACTAGTGTACTCAATTTGCTGTTGAATATAAGAAAGATATTTCTGTGTTTGTCCTAGTTTAACTGCACTGTTGTGTGTCCACCTGAAAAGCCATACAGAGTACTCCAAGAATCACCATATTGTTCCAGTGTGGACCCATCAGAGTAAGTGTTAAAGTTCTAGAACACATTCATACAAATAAAATGTTTAACTAGATGCAAAATAAACTAATAAAAAATAAAAGATACTATATAATAAAGGCAGGTGGGTTTAAATAAAGCATATTATAAAGTATTGTTTTATGTTTGCTTGAACCTGAATAAATTGCCTGTTGCTAATGTTATATTTTTTATGAAAACTATTAAGAATTGTTGAGCAAAATTATATTACGAATTGTTCACATAGATAATTATGACACTCATATTATTGTCTTTTTTTCACACAAACGGCAGTGAAAGCAGGTGAGTTGACATACTTTTTCAATCTCTTGTTGAACAGACTTGAAGAATGAGCTTGTTAATATTTTTCTGGTGAAAATATTCTTACTCCATATAGAACTTTCTTAGTGGAAAAATCTTGAACTACATACTTTTCAGTACTTTTATTGTTGAAATAGTTCATGCTATATTCTTCTCAGTTGCTGTTTGGTAAAATTCAATCATCAAAACTTTTAGTAGTTTTTGCAATAGAAAGGTTTAAAATACATTACTTTCTTTCATTTATCGTGGAAGTTTGCAATGATATGCTTCTCCAAAACTTTTTTAGGGAGCTGACTTCAGATATAGTAAAATAGTTGTTCTAGTCTTTTTATTGATGAATTGATTCAAACTTATTGTCTCCTTGCTTTCAAAATTACAATTGCTGAACTTGCACAAAGCATTTTTATTTTTTTTCTGGCATATTTTTGTGTTTAAAATATGCCAAAAATCTAAGTATTTGGAATAATTTCACAGTGATATAAATCTTATGAAGTATGAAAGTAACCAAACACATGAATTTTCAACAGCTCTAGTGAAGAAAAGAAACACCGATTTATTCTGAGTGTTACTATTGCTCCCTCACTGGCTTTTTTTATTCTTGTTGTGGGAATTGTATACTGGTTACTGCAGCGTGCTCGGAATGCCAAAAATACTGTAAAAATGGCTGAGGTAAGAAAGAAGCATCTCTTATTTTTATCCATAAGTGAAAGAAAGAAATATATCTTAGAACAGTGTATTACATTGGTATGTTTCACTGGCAATATCTTGCATTTTGCTCCTAGCTCAATTTATTTGGCAAATAGTAACATATACACCTGGAAAAAAGTTAAGCACCCCCAAATATTGTTCAGGATTGCTTATTGAAAATAAGGTTTAATTTTCATGATGTTGAGCAATATTCATAATTTCAAACATAATTAAAAGGATGTGAGCGATTGGACGTGAAGAAGGGAGCAAGTTGCACGTGGGGAAAAAAACGCGCCTGATTTAAATGTCACACCTGAATCGAATTTCTGAATGCAAAATCATTTTAAGTAAGAATGGCAAGAAGACGGATATCAGAGGCGCAGAGATGGCAAATTATTGGCATGAATTCCACTGGTATGTCCTACAAGGCGATAGGTAGACAGCTTGGCTATCATTACACAGTGATCAGCCGTTTGGTCAGAAAACATGTTGCCACCCAGAATGTTAAGGACCGTCCTCAATCTGGTCGACCATCTGTAACAACCCAACGTGAAGATAGGAGCCTTGGTAGATTGGTCAGACGAAATCCGTTTGCAACAAGCACTCGTCTTAAAAGGCAGTGGTTACCTGGTCGTAATCTGTCAACCAGAACAGTAAGAAATCGTTTAAAATCTGCGGGACTGAAGTCAAGGAGAGTCATAAAACGCCCGACACTTGACGATCGCCATCGCAGGGAGAGGTTGGCCTGGTGCAGAGCAAGGCAGAACTGGAACCTTCAAACCTGGCGACGAATACACTGGTCAGACGAGAGTAGATTTTTACTCCACGTAACTGATGGTCGAACCCGTGTTTGGAGGCATTCGGAACAATGTTTCTTGGAGTGTAAGCTGCGTTACAACAGTGCCTTTTGGTGGGGGCTCAGTTATGGTATGGGGCTGTGTCTCGCATGATTGCAAGCTGGATTTGGTAACAATCAATGGCAACCTTACTGGTGAAATAACACCAGGGACGTGCTTACACCTGTAGTTGTGCCTCATTTTGACAACCACACGTTAGCGTCAAGACTTTTATTCATGGATGACAACGCTAGACCTCTCCAAAGCCTGTATTCGCCTACTCAATTGGTCCCACAGATGCTCTATAGGGTTGAGATCTGGACTTCTTGCTGGCCAAGGAAGAGTGTTGACGGATTCATTCTCTAAATAAGCCTTTACTGCCCTAGAGCGATGCTAACTGTTGCAATGTCTGTGGAGGAGGCTCCAAAGCCTGTATTCGCCTACCCAATTGGTCCCAGATGCTCTATAGGGTTGAGATCTGGACTTCTTGCTGGCCAAGGAAGAGTGTTGATGGCCAGTTAGACGTCTGATTTGTTGAAGCGTTATCTGTCGCCATTCTCGGTGCAAGTGAGCTTCAGTATGCGGCGCAGGGTTGCAGCAGTCATCCAGGCAAACGGTGGATATACCCGATATTGACTTTTCGATGACTAATTATTTATTGAATTGTCAAATCACATTACAAAATGTCAATCATGACCCACACATTGCCGTTTTTGAGCTTTCACTGACAATACTTATTAAAGATAATTTTAAGCGTGAAAACTGTCCATATTTTGATGTCATGATATGTAAATTAAACATTTTTATTTTACGGTGATAATCTTGTTTTCTTGTGCCCAATAATGCATAATTTCATTTGATAAACACGTTTAGATTGAATGGTAATTTATAATCAGTCACAAGAACGTCGAATCTGAATCATTTGAAAAAAACACGGGGGTGCTTAACTGTTTTCCAGGTGTATAGTTTGTCTGTTTCTAAATAAGAGCTTTAGTTTAATATTACTCTACATACAGGGGATTAATTGCACTTTTATATGAACAGTGTGAATACCTTAATGAAACGACTTGTCATCGCAACAGCGAGGAATGGCCTCATGGGTGACACCTTTAGCACCCATATATTTGTTTTATGGTAAAGTTTCTACTATTCGACGAGGAATGCTGCCACGTATAGACTATGACGGGAGGAATATATGTCACAACCCCTTCAAAGGAATGATATTGATATAGCTTTATTGCTAAACGAAGAACAGCCAAAGAGCACAAAATTTCGAAAAATAAATTCTTTAATATTCTCATTGGAAGCGTGAAAGTTCATATAGCAGAACTTTTAGAACAGTAGTGACTTCTGAAACTACAAGCCAAGCCAATTAAGAGCATTACTCTTGTTCAATAATGGAAGCCATAGTTGAAAAAGAAAACTATGTTCTTACCTAAAAAAAAATGATCTTGAAATAAAGCTGGATGTATCTCCTGGCACTCTTAAGGAGATAATGAATAAGGATTCGAAACTGATGGAGTCTTATAAATCATTAGCTTCCAGCTGTCTTCATTAAAAATATGATCATGGAAACGTGAATGAGTTATAATAGTGGCATTGTGTACAATGGTTTGGGTTTGGTTTTGGTTTGAATTTCGCGCAAAGCTACACGAGGGCTATCTGCACTAGCCCTCTCTAACTTAGTAATGATAGACTAGAGAGAAGGCAGCTAGTCAACACCATCAACCGTCAATTCTTGGGCTACTCTTTTATCAACGAAAAAGGAGATTGACCGTCACATTATAGCACCCCCACGGATGAAATGGCGATCATGTTCGATGACGGGGATTCGAACCTGGGACCCGCATATTACGAGTCGAGCTCGCTAACCAGTAGCTCTATATACAAATGATGTATGGTCTAAGTTTGAACCTCATTGCACAGAAGTATGTTACAAAGTAAACTGCAATACCATGTAATGTTGTGTAATCATGTCCAACAGACTGAATGAGATCGATGGTAAAGAAATTAGTTCTAAGAGAAACGCAAAACCTGGAGCATCGTTCTTATAAAGTGTGATTAACGTTCAGGAAAATAAAAGTGGTAAACAATTTGGCTATTTATGAGTCATAACACAACAAATCAAGCTTAACTAAGATAAGAGTAACATTTCAGCCATTCTAAAACCAGATTACCAGTATTTTTTGCCAAAAATAAAAAAAGTTTTCTGGAAATTTCTCAACTGCAAAAATTTTGGTTAAAAATAGGAAAGGTCACTCCGTTAGGTTATTTTACATTCGATGTATAGAAATAATCTTGTTTAATATGTAATGAAGAAGTAGCAAAAATATCGTTAAACTTGAAGATAGATAAAAAAAATAAATACCTGATTTGTTTAAATATTAATAACATTTTCAATTAATGTCAAGTGGATCTCATTAAATTTTATTAATAGAGGCTGCTTTGTTTTTGATGTTATCCCTTTCAAGTTATTAAATATAAAATACTTACTAAGTTTAATTTTTTTTAATTAATGATGATATTAAGACTTTGTTGCTTGTTGGCTCCTCTCCTTTGTCAGATGCTATAATTTTCGTTGAAAAAAAAAAGAACTGACATTTAATGAGGACGTTAGAAGATAAGAGGCAGGTGATTCAGGATAGATAAAGCGATTTCTGGCAAGGTCTGCCACACCATTTTCTATCAGCCCTCAATCATCGGGTTATGTCAGCCTTTGAGCCGACAAACAACAAGAAAGATTTTCTTCGCGACTAATTCAGGGTTTATTTGAATTGGCTGGTTGGGTTTATAGAGTTGACTAGGAAAAAGGTTAATTGGACGCAATGAAGCGAACTTTTAGTTATCACTGCTGAATAAGGAAATAAATTACTTTTGGTCTTTACAGTCAGGTAGAAATGTCAAGTTAGTTACGTTTAATATTTTTATAAACTTATCTGGTTGTTTGCGTACCTGTGTTTTGATCGACATATAAATGGCTGTTGATTATTTCTTATAAACTTTTACATAACATCGCCTAGGAAGGAGAAGTGAAAGGAGTAGTTGATACAGTTTGAAAAGCTAGGTCTCTGTGAAAGTCTGTAAGCTTATTTGTATTTGAAAATAAGATCAGTAGATTGTTTAACTGAATCGGAGTAGAGCAAAAACTGAGCGTGAAAGCTAAGAAATCGGGTAGATACACTTAACAACAAGTAATACAAACTCATCTGTAAAAATATGGTACAGTTTCGAAAGAAAATCCCTTAAGACAAAACAAAATCTGATATCAAAGTACATCTATATTTATGAAATGGATAATTTTTTGTCGGACTGCATCCTTTGGATAGATTACACGTAATATTAACATTAAAAGCTCACAGCTCGACACGCTGCTTCAAAGAAGATACAAGAACGAACCTTTGAAATGTAATCACGTTCACAGTCGTTCAGATTACAGTGCTATCAAGGAAACATGTTGGTGCAGAAAATCTTTTCAGAAAGATATAAAGTTATTATGGATAAGAGTGTTGGTTTTTTCTCTCTCTCTTTCTGACCCTAGGAATACATTACTAGCCTGAGCTTCTAACTTTTCTGACCCTAGGAATACATTACTAGCCTGAGCTTCTAACTTTTCTGACCCTAGGAATACATTAATAGCATGAGCTTCTAACTTTTTTGATCCTAGGAATACATTACTAGAAGCTTCTAGCTTTTCTGACTCTTGGAATACATTACTAGAAGCTTCTAACTTTTCTGACTTTAGGAATACATTACTAGAAGCTTCTAACCTGCCGTTCGAAGAAAACATCGACTTTAATTGTACATACACATGACATACTTTACCCATGATTTTAACACTACATAAATGGCTTCTAGTTTAAATAAGATTTACAAACGATATAATAAATTAAAAGCTTTAATAATGCTCGTATACAACACAGCTAGTTCTCGGATTACTAATGTTTATAATATGTTATATCTAGTTACTGATGTTAATTGTGATTACAAGGTTATAAAGGTAAATTATGTTCAAATAAGATTGAGGGATAAATAATTTCAATTATGTTTCAATACAATTCGTTACCAATTTTAATAGTATTTTCCCATAACAGAAGTAAACTGATGTTTCGATATAACTCATTATACGTTTTAATCATGTCTTCCCAC